CTTGACCTAATATACACAGCTCTCGATAAAAATGAATATCCTCTGGGGTTCTTTATCAATCTAAAAAAGTGTTTGACACAGTTGACTACAATCTCTTGCACCTCAAACTGAATCATTACGAATAAGGACATTCGCCTGGTCACAGACTGGGCTGCGGGGGCGTAAACCCCCGGAAGTCTCTCCAGGTAAACTACCTAAAATCCTATCTTAATGACAGACACCAGTATGTACATGCAAATGGAGTCAACTCCGCTATCCAACCTGTGCTGTAGGAGTACCCGAAGGTAGTGTCCCAGGCCCACTCCCCCTTTCTCATCTACATCAATGATCTCCCCAATGCATCCCAACTCCCTTAATCAGTTCTATTCGCAGATGAAACTACATATGTCTACTCCCATCAGACCAGCTGTGCTTGAAAACACGTAAACAATGAACTGCCTAAAGATATATCCCTTGGATGATGACCAAAAAAACTCACTCTCAACACAGACAAAACATACTTCATGCTGTTTGGCAACAGCCCAATATTCAACTCAACATATTTTTTAAATGGTTCCCCTATATCAAGACACAACGGAAGGTAAATTTCTAGGTCTTCTCCTTGACTGTAAATCTTAAATTTGGGTCCCATACCCATCACACACCCAAAAAATTTCCAAATCAGTAGGAATCCTCTCCAAGATATGCTACTATGTACCACAAATGACTCTCCCTTACCTTGTACCACTCTCTAAATAGTCAAGGTTAATGTTTTAGTAGCTGACCTATATTCAGCTGACTAGGTCCCAGTGAGAAAATCATAGCAGAAAAAGGCCAAATATATCTATAAGCTCAAGGAAAGTCAGGTTGTGGGTTGGCATTACTCCCCTCAGTTTTTTTAAAATGGCTGAGTCAGCAGAACAGGTAGGAGACAACAACACGACACAACCCCCATAAATGGAATTGAGGGGATTTGGAAGATTTAACCAAAAAAAGGCACGAATAAATTAGAATAATGCTTGAACCAATGATACAGGAGTGTGATAAAATGATTCCTGTGGGGTTTTTAATTAAGAAAAGTGATTGCAGTTGAAATTTTGACAGATGAATCTTACAGTAATTAGAGGAATTCCCCTAGGAAAGACTAGGTGACTAGGGGCGTTGGAAAGAGATTATAAACTATTTTTAAAATCTATCGTAAATTTGACAGTTACCTTGTATGTACTGTGCTTATGGGAGATCAAAACGATTCAACCTGTTAGTGGAGTGAGTTTGGGCCCATCTTGTATAAAATTGAATGAACTAGCAATGATAATTTATGAGTTCAAATTTAGATAAAACAAATGTCATATCAAATTCAGAGATGTGCTTGGAAAAATGTATACAATGAACTTCGGCAGGATTTATGCTTGGATGATGGTTAATCATAACTCATTCACACAACAAAAGTATTCAGCTGGTTTGGACAGAGCTCTAATATTCAACTCAAATATGTTAATGGTTCCCAATCAAGACAGGAAGGATAAAGTATCTAGGTCCACCTCTTATTTATGTGTAAATTGGGTGGTAAATCACACAGGCGAGAGGAAAATTCCAAATGCAGTGGGGAAATCCTCTCCCAGAAATTCGGATGTACCAAATTGGACTGTCCTTACCTTGTACTTATAAATATGTCAAGGTAATGTTTTGGGTGTTTGGTATTTCAGAGAAGTGTACAGTAGAATCATGGAAAGCAAAATAATCTATAGGAGTCAAGGAAGTCGGGTAGGGGTGCCCAATTACGCGGGGTAGTTTGTTGTAAAGGGCTGGAGTCAGCGAAGCGGTCAGGGATGACAACAACACGGAACAACCCCCGATTAATGGAGATTGAGGGGATTTAGTGAAGGATTAAAACCGGTTACTTTTGCATCTATCGGAGATTGGAAAGGAAGTTAGAAGTTTTAATTGGGATATGCAGTGTGAGTGGTGGGAATAGATGTGTGTTATTATAGTTACTTTAGAGTTTTGTGAACTCTAAAAAGGATAAGTGGAGTGTGGTGAAAGGTGTTGAAGAGATAAATTTTACTTTTGTGGGATTTCTTCTTTGGAGATCCCCCTAGTGTATACGGGACTGTGAAAAAAAAGAAATAAAAAAAATGAGTAAAAGAGCAAAGAGTGAAAATGGCAGGCATTATGGGGGTACAGGCTGCCATAATTATATTTATCTTTCTTCTTCAATTCCATGAAGAAAGAAATCAGTCATAGGGGCTGGAAAGGTGAATAGAGTAACAGCGCCCCTGGACAGTAAAAGCCCAACAGTTGCCATCCTACCAGAAAAGTAAATCTCACTATCGCCGCAAGGTATGGCAACACCGCATACCCAAACAAAAACAGTGGCACACAGCTCTTATTGTAGCGCTCTTAAGTGGTGATATCCAAATTAATCCAGGACCTCAAACTATTGTGCAGAGGCAAAACAGACAGATAAATGATGGCGATAATGACGGTATAGTAGCTAGGGATGATAACCTTAACTCCATATGTAATGCATACATAGGTCAATGTGAGACAATACAGCCATTATTATCTCAAACATTACCAAACAGGTGCATACACTGTACTAAAGTACGCATGAAAAACAGAAAAGGCACCTTATGTAAAATGTGTAAGGGGTGGGTGCATGATGGATGCATGTACAATTATAGCAACGGTGCCAGAATTCATTTTGTGTGTAACAAATGCACTTTGGCACAGTTACCCTTTAGCAGTGATGACATTGATTTACCTAATTTTAATACAAATGACCCCTTGGCATATATTGATGATTATAATTGTTTCATAAAAATAGGCCTTCACTTTATTCATGTTAACGCAAGATCACTTTTCCCAAAATTGGCAGAGATTAGGATTCTAGCTAATAGAACTAGGGTGGCAGTTATATCCATCTCTGAATCTTGGTTGGATGATACGGTGACTGACGACGAGGTCAAAATAGAAGGTTACAATATAAAATGCTTAGATAGGAACAGAAAGGGTGGTGGAGTATGTGCCTACATTAGAAATGACTTAGCTTACAACCCAAGACCTGATTTAAATAACAATAAACTGGAGATTCTATGGTTTGAAGTGCTGCTTCCCAAGACTAAACCCATCTTAGTAGGAACTAGTTACCGCCCTCCCACCCAGGACCAGTTCCTAGAAGACTTTTCCAGAGTCTTGTCCGGAGTTGAAAATAATTGCGAGACAATAATACTGGGCGACTTCAATATCTGTTTTCAGCAGCAAAATAACGAGCTATGCAAAAGGTATAAGCAAATTCTAGGATTAAATAGCTACACTCAACTAATTAATACACCAACCCGGATCACACAATTCTCAGCCACCCTAATTGACCACATACTTTGTAACTGCTCTGAGAACATTAGTCAGTCAGGCATCATTACCACAGGTCTTAGTGATCATTTCATCATTTACTGCACCAGGAAAATCACTAGGGATAGGATAGGCCTACACAGGACAATAAAAATGAGGTCAACTAGAAACTACAGTAAAGAAACACTGGTAAATAGGCTACACAATTGTGACTGGACAGAGATAACAAGTTGCACGGACGTAAACGATGCCTGGGAAAAATTCAAAACAATGTTCACTACCATCCTTGATAATATTGCACCAGTTAAAGAGGTTAGGATTAAACGAAGAACTGAACCCTGGATGACTACTGA